TAAAATGAGATCGATCATGGCTTTGTAATTTCATTCGACATATTTGTGTTTTTGTCCAACTCTATACACGTCAAATCAAATATCGAGTCTTTATCATTCTATCTCCTCTAACAGCATTGAAATGCAGCATACGTTTTTCCTACAAAAATTAGTCTTTGAAGCTGTCCCTTGTGTCTGATAGCCGGTGTGTGAAACAAGTGAGAAGCCATCCCTGAGATCATTGGTCCTGGAGATGAGTAAGTCATCCTCATGACAACTGCAGAGACCCCCAGCAGTTCCTGTGAACACGCAGCTCTCAGCACAGCCTACACAGGCGTCTTGAGGACACCCTTGTAGAATCAATACGAAGACTTTGGGAAGCCCGTGGGACGCCCCGGATTCCGGCTCTGATCCGGGCTCCTTGGATCAGTTTCGTGAGGACGTCCCTCCCCCCGCAACGATAAGCGGTTGTCCCTGGGACATCCGCGTGTCCTTGTGGTGTATCTATTTTTGTTCATGATCTCCAACTACAGTCAAATCGGAAAAGCTTGACCGATTTCGCCCGCAAAACTCGAGCAATTTGGCGGGGAATTTGTGACAAGCTTTTCCGGTTTGACTGTAAAAGAAAGGCCGGATGGATTGATCTGGCAAGCTGTGCTGGATTATAATTCAAACTACGCACCTGCGCTCGGTCATCCTCGCGAGGCGTTGAGCGTGAGTGAGCGTGAGTGATGCGCGAGCGCGGGAATTTTGCTAGTCTTGTGATTTGAGATGACGATGTTTCTCACTCTGAGGATGGTACATACTTATCTTCTGATCCAAAAGTTAAAACTGAGAGTGAGCACAGCCTCACTCAAGCAACGCCTCGCGAGGATGCGCGAGCGTGGGACTTTGTTAAGTTTACAGCCTCACCAACTCTCACCAACTTCACTGATGATGGATCATTTCTCACAACCGATCTGAAATGCGGTGAAAGGACATCCACCGGCCCCGGTGTCTAGCCGCATGAATCCAGACATAGCCAATTTGACAAATTGTTTTGCTTCCAAAAATTTGCGTCACGGCAGTGGTCAAAACCAATTAAAAAGCGTTCTTAAAGGTTTTGTATTGTTTGTATTCTCAAAATTAGCAGAGAAACAAAACTTGGTCAAGAAGAAAACCAAGTCTTGGACAATGATGCGCTTTTCAAAAATAATCAAATCAATTATTCTCAAATCAGCTGTAACACAAATCTCTATATGGTTGTGCCAGAGATTAAAACAGTGCATGCAGCACACGCAAATGAAACGTCAAAACCACATCAGCTGCAAGATTGTCCTAATCTCGCACAACTTGACTCAAAGAGACTGAAAGACAATTTAATTTGCACATGATTATGCAATTACATCCCAACAAGAAGAAACACCTAATCAAAAAAAAATCTCATCCAAAACATTCTTTGAACAATTGGCAAAAGCTTTGTACAGCCCTTTGCATAATTGATGACTTTGAAGAAGAAAAAACATTGAGTTTTCAAAGAAAAAACCTTGAGTTTTGTCAAAAAGCTGCTGAGTTTTTCAAAAAGTCAGTGAGTTTTTTTTGGAAACCTGGCTCAGTAAGTCTAAAAGAGAAAGAGCTGGCTCAGTTTTTGAAAAAAAGAATGAGTTTTTGAAAAAAACTTGCAGGTTTTTTTGAAGGATCGCACTATTTGGCGCCCGGTTTGGGACAACTCAATGCCCGGTTTCGACAGCCAAATTTGGCCGCAGCCGCAGCAATTGCGCAAACCGGGCTCAATATTACCGGTTTGGGCTGTTACACACTGCAACCGGGCTCAATGTGATGAAACCGGGAGGCTTCAACTCAACTTTACCCTTAACCCTTTACCCTTCACCCTTTACCCTCTAACCTCTACCCCCTTCACTCAATTCACCCTTTGTTCCTCACTCCTTTCCATTCCTCCCTCCGAATTTCAACGCTTTGACCGCCAATGTCCTAAGTCCCAAGCTCACCTCTATATACATAGGATCAAAATACATATGCATAAGTGATGAAACATGATCAAAGTGCAAATGAAAGTGAAATAAATGTGGTTTGGGTTATGTATGATTGAAACAAAAGAGCAAGAGGCAGAGCGAAATCGTGTGAAACAAAAAAAAATTGGGGGCGAGTGAGATTTGGAATGCCAAAAGCAAAAGCGGTTTGGCCCGTTATTGGAATTGAAACCGGGCTGCGAAAGTTGTGTCAAGTTTTGAATACAGTTAAATAAAGGGCGGTCTTCCCAAACCGGGCGCCAAATAGTACGATCCTTTTTTGAAAACTCAAGCGTTTTCTCTTTTTCCAAAGTCATCAATTCTGCAAAGGGCTGTATGTATTTCCATGCTATGGGGAAGGTATGCTTTCCAAAGTTTGTACAAAAAGTCTGGAAGGTCTCATCGATTATTACAAATTCCATCAAACAAAGAAAACCAGAATGACTTACAATGGCTGATAGTTTTTTCAGAGAAAGTAGCAGCATTCTAATTTTGGAATCATTAAGATGGGGTTTGAAAGAGGCAGATCCAGTCTCTTTTATGGATACAAGAATGACTGGCATTGGTGTCTGAGAACTTGATCCAAGAATTGGGAATAATTTTATTCTTCCCCCTCCTTCTCAAAATATGTTCTGGGGCAAGATGTTAGGTGTCATCTCAGCAATTGGCATAGGAATTGAAATCAGCTCTCATGTGCCTTACAATATTGTGTGACCACTATTTTGACATCATGCAGATTTTGGAAGGATGTTTTATGCATGTCTCAGCTGAATTTAATTCAGCTGCTGATAACTGATCACATCAAAAATCAATCTTGACCCCTAGAAAACTGATACCCTTTGTCATGAAATCAATGCTGAATCCATCTCTGCTTCACAGATTGAGCCCTCTCTTTGTTCTGGAGGTCAAGACACAAATTGGATTTCTTTCAATTTGTCATCCCAATTAAAGCTAAATCCAAATGAAAAAGCCTGTGTTCAAAAACCCTATGTTAAACATCTCTGTAAACAATTAAGGAAGTTGTCTAAGCAAGATCAAACTTCAGTCATTTGTCCTGTTTCTTTACAAAAATACAAATCCTGTCTTCATTTTGAGCTTCCATTCAGTTGCAACAAACATGACTTATGCAATTTATCATCATTGATGAGTCAAGTAATTTCTCCAAAATCGGTTTGTGCATATTTAGTTGATATTCATCACATTTTTAGGATACAATGAAGTACTGTATCAAGAACTTATCAAAGCCAGTAGTTAGGAAGGAGAAACTTACGGTGGATCAAATCAAGTCTGCAGCATCTATTGCATCCTCTAACAATGACAAATTATTCTTAGCCATGCTGGGTGTGGGTTTTGGGGGCCTTTGTTGCTTGGGTGAACTGACCATTCCTGGTTTGAAAAAGTGTTTTGACATGTGGAAAGTTATATTACAATCATCATTTTGGTTTTCAACCTGCAAGGAATTTATTCAGTACAGTCAAACCCGCACAAACGCATAATTTGGGTGGAAGACTTTTGCTATGCATTTCTGTTGTCAAATTTGGCAGTAAAAAGCATCAAGATTCTAGTTTTTTTCTATGCATTATCACGAGTTATGCACCTGCGCGAGTATGCATTTGCGCGGGTTTGACTGTATCTTGTTCAAAAGGGGACACAAATTTCATCAGTGCTCCTGTCATTATTCATTGTGCTGCCAATCCTTCCTCTTGTCCCATCCATCTTATCAAGTCCTGTATACATAAACGAGATGACACCAGATGAAAACTTCATCACTTTTCCTGAGCTCTTTGTCACACACAATGGTTCTTTACCATCCTGCTCCTGGTTGCTGTCAAAATCCCACACTCGATTTTTGATAAATCTTTGGGCAGTCATTCTTTACATTCTGGTGGTGCTACGGCTCTAGCACAGGCATGCACTACTATGGATCATATCAAAAGTGCAGTAAACTGATCTTCTGAAGCATTTTTGATTTATGTTCAAGGACATGTCACAATAAGATTACCAGAGGTTCAAAATCATGTAATTGGTGATTTGTCTCATGTTGGATCCATTTTTTTTCTCAAAAAAAAGGGAATCATTGGGTTTTAAGACTGGTCAATGGCTTCCATGCTTCTGTCTTATATCTCATTGGTCAATGGCTTTCATGCCCTTACAATGTTGTTTGATATGTCTTCTATGCCTGTGTGTCTGGTGTTGGGACAGATCTTGATCCAGAAACTGAGACAGAGATTGTTTCTTTCTAATGTTTTGCTTCACCCTCTCCTCCTTCACCACTCTATGGCTGTATGGCTTGTAGACAGGTTGGAGAGGGTCTTTTCTTTTCAAAGAAATATCATAACCCTGAGCTGTTTGGCCTAAGGATTTGCCCACAACCACTCTGCCTTTTTAGTATTTTCAGATACTGAGTATCACAAGTTTTTATAAATTACATTTCTTGTATATAGCTTTTTGTTTATTCACAATACACAGCCCTGCAAAAGTAATTTTTGGGTGAAGTTTATTCTTTGGCCAACCCTGGTTGCCTGCCACAATAGCAAGTGATGACGGGCAAAGCATATGAGAGGTCCTCAAAGCCATGTGCTTTTGGACCCAAATATATATATATATATGTCCCCCAAAAAATCAAAAAAGTATATTAGAGAAGTATATACATGTACATATGTAGCTTGTAATTGAAAATTGCACTCTATACCAGAAAAAGCTACCTGCTCAGTAGAATCTGAAGTAAAAATTCATAAATGCTAATCCAACCAACACACCTTGCTCAATAAGGAATTCATACTTTAATTCTTGCAAGTCAACACCAAATGGAACAAGAATCCACCCCATTTCATCAATTTCAGAGTTCAAACAAAACAGATGGAAGAATGTTATTGGTTACACACAATATTGATAAAAAACATACATAGGGAACCAAAGTAATATTTCATTTAAAAATTGGTACACAGTATTTACACAGAACACAATTAAAAACATCAAGTCAAAGCTTGAGATGGACATGAGTATCAAGCTTTACCAGGGCTTGTTTGCTCCATTGCTGATTTTACTGAAGGAGTAATACACCTCAGTTATGATGTGCCCATGATGAAGAAAGAATGTGTCAACTCACAAGCTCCATGAAGTGATTTTAACATTTGTTTCATCGTCTTGGAACCCAAGCCGTGACATCATCTGCGTAAAGAGTCATTCCAGTCAGGTAAACAATCCCAATAGTGGATTCATGATAACACATACTTGGTCAGAGAGATAAATTCCTGAACACCCGTCATCAATGTCAACAGGCTTCCCCGTGGTGAAAGCACACCCGTCCGCGATGATTCCGTCAACAGTCCGGTTATTGGCAATCACAGAGCTGTGCAAAAAGGAGATTAGTCAATCCTAGCTGATGACTGACAGACAAATACCTACACAGTTTTAAAGCAATTATTTTTTCCGTTATTCAACCTGATGTGAGAATAATTTGTGAGAACCTAATGTCAGCATACACTGATAGGTGCAGATCATAGTTGATGAGTAATATGAAACAACCCGGTAAGCCATCCAGGGACAGAATTTGAGTCATCTTGACCGCCTGAACCGTTCCAAGGGCACACAACAAGGTCTGAACCGCTATAAGCAACGCCACATGCCTGGATTTTTCAATTATGTAGTGTTAATAGGGTGTCTAGCAAACACAAGATTATCACCGGTGATCAAGAAAATTACTTACGCCTTGCCCGCCCGAAGAGCCGGAAATCCTTTTACTCTGTAGCAACCAGTACTGATTGAGCACGCAGTCTCAGATGACAGTGAAGATTCAAAGGGACGGACTTACGGGTTTGGTAGGCTTGATATCCGAGTTCACTTCGGCTGTCGCCATTGTTAAAGCGGAGGTCTGGAGACTGGTGAGCTATTGAGGAGAATGGTCCGTTTGAATAGACGAATCAGTTTAAGCTTCAAGGTACCACATGGAATCAAAGATTTCAGCACTGACTCGATAAGCAGACACGTCTTGGACTTTGTTAGAGTTGGTTAACCACTTGTAACACGTGCTATGAGGGTTTGCTGTGTTGTCTTTTGGTGCAGGGAACGTTGTAGGTTTTTCTCCCAAGACGTTGTGAAGCAAGAACATAAAATATACTGTGGCAACGTTCAAAGGCATCTTAACAGAGTTATAGGAACAAAAAATAGATATGGAAGAAATTTCGAGTGTTCAAATTGGAATATGTAAGCGATTGTGTGAGGTGATGAACAAGAAGGCCAAACTGCACATGGCCTTTATAAGGTCTTTGGACAGTGCAAAAGAGAGAACTGCTCGCGGACGGATCCTATGCTCCCCACTTCTCATCGCCCCTCGAAGCCTCATCGCGAAATGGCCAGCAATGTTATGTGCTTCACAAAGTTTGATATATGTCTGATCAAGAAAAGCTGTGCCAGATTGAATAGAGCCATTCAATCTGACGAATGTTTTGTCAAGCTCTCTTGTTACCTGTAACGTCAAATCCATACCGCACGGCCGTTGTTACCGGGTCACATCCTGACATCCAATCCACAATCCACAATTCACAATTCACAATTCACTGGAGCTTGCGCGAAGCGCCCGAAGTCCAGTATGATCGTGTCTAGACAGTGAGTGCGTAAGTGGGGCACGCAGCGCCAGCAGCTCGCAGACTTTAGATATCTCTTACACCATGCCGTGCAACAGATAAGTATCATATTGATCAATTTATAACCCTGGAGGTCTCTGTGGGGAACACCAAGTCCCCCCCCGATGCAGCCAATCTCCCCCCTGGATTTAGCAGTCACAAGACTTGTGAATTCAAATCCCAAAGAGAGTAACAAATGAGAATAAAGGGGGCGGAATTGGGCAGTAAAAGTATACTAGGAGTATGAGCCCAATATGCATTGACGCTGTTATCCTCTGCTCGCGATTCCACTTGCACTGGTGAGGAATAGGTGCACTCCCGGTACGGAGCCATTGTGGCGATGACCCATGAATCGATTCCTACGAGATAATAAGATTGCTTGTTACGACATTGTTGTTCTGTCAATGGAATATATATTATTTGGTGCAATTTGTACCTCATGAACAGAGGAGAGAACTATGTATCACCTGACTACCCCAATAGAAAGTTTCAGAAAACAGGTAGGACTGCTGAGTCATGGAAGGCTTGCACTCTGTTTGAATCAATAAAAAGATGAAGCATAACTTGAACACCTTAACCTGCTTTCAGCAAGTGTTTCCATTCTCTGTCAAAAAGGCGGAGATTCTCTGGGGTTATCAACTTGTTGCAATAGAGTTGTGACCACACGTGCTTGTCATGAGATACAAGATGCTTCATTGCCATGGAATATGTAAAACATTCAACTGCGGAGGAATCTCACCAGAGGTTCCCAGGCAGCTAATCATCAAAGACAAAATCCAAATGGAGAGTAGAAAGTGTATTCAGTGACTTTGTTTATCTGTTGGCCCATGAACTAATTCCTCCTCTACCTGATATATAGTACAAAGGAGGACTTTGAAATCCAGGATGAGCTTTCAGCAGGTGTTGTATTTGGAAAGATAAAACCTTTGTTGAATTATTAGGGAAGTCCAGGTTGGAAAAATGCTGAAAATAAAACTGTGCCCAAATCAAAATGCTACTTATAATGTTAGAATTTTGAAAAGCCTATCAGAAAGCCTCACCTGATCAAGAAGCACATTCCTAGACAAGAACAGTTGAAACCAATATACTTTCAAGTTTTGAGGGTATACAAGGCACTTTTTGGCTCACTTGAACCTCACTATTACAACCATTTTCATAGTACAATTCTTATTTAGTCCCAATGATCAAGCCTGATGCTTTATTTATCAAAGCCCTGTCAACTCAACTTCATGACCTTATCACAATAGTTTCATGATCATAAGAGATACAAGAGGTCATCCATGTGTATGTGTGTCATATCATTTTTTATAACATTGATGTCAGTACATTTCAAAATTATTGACTTTTGTTTTCATGTATCTGGATCCAAATTCTGAATCCAAATATATACTTACCTTTAACAAAAGAAACAAATCAATGAGAAGTGTAAAAAGCCTTTTCAATGATTACTAATACAGGGAGCTCAATTTCAAAGATACTCAACTACTCTTGGGTAATATTAATTTACAGATGGAGCAGGACTATGGCTGTGACCTGGACTCTGCCCTTCCCATCTGACTCTACCCAACAATATGTTTCAATTTGAAAGTCTGCAGCCTGTAAACCTGAAACCTAGCCACAAACACCCTGTGGGCACGTCAGTGGCCTTGGCTGCCCAGGTGCCTGTGTTTTTTTGCTCAACATTTTCTTTGATATTTTTCTTTCCATGATCTCAGTATAGCTCTTTTTGTTGGGCTGATTCCATACACAGAACATTCTTAGTATAATTAAGATGAAAAACCAATGAAACAAATCTTATAATCAGATTGTTAGAAGAAGCAATCAGATCAATCTTTATTACCTGATTACCAACACGGAACAATCTTAGTATAAGTAAGATGAAAACCAAACCAAACCAATCTTATATTAAGATTCTCAGAAGAAGTAATCATATGAGGAAAAAGGAAAACATCTGATTGTTGTTTGAGGTCAAGTTATAAACAGAAAACAAAAAATGAATTGGTGTATGACATCATAGGATCAGTCATGTAACTTTATACATGATGTAATATCAACAAATGAAAAGATGAAAACAGAACAAGAAACAATGTATGAAAATGATCAAGTTAAGTAATCACATTGATGAAAAAGACTTTGAAGGCATTCACAGATATTCAATCCAACACTTTTTGATCTCCAAGTAGGCTCATATAGTCTGTAAATAAATTTTGATACACATATAATGTCAACATAGGTCAAGATCATTGCATTTTTAGCACATTTTTACACCTATAAAGCATTCAAGGTGTACCCTGCTTGACAGTAACCAAAGCTCAATGTAATTTCAAGCAATCTAACCTAACTAAGTCTTGGCAAACAAGCCTGCAAGAGATATAATTATATCTATGCAAGGAATTTGGCACAGGAGCTGGAGACTTTTTCCAACTGCTATATCTCAATATCTTACAGATAAATTGTCATGAGCCTACTAATGGGTTTAAGCTTACTGTGTATCAGATCACAGATACTACTAGACAGCTTGAGCCATGTTGTACTAATGATTCCTCAGATCACAATCTTATCATTTATGCTCATGAAGCACCTCTTGATCTTTTTCAAACATGCTCCCTCTCATAACATATTACAAAGTCTTATCTCTGGACATCAGCAAGATTCATACAAACATCTTGAAATCAAAAGTTAAGCAAAAGACAATCAGAATTTGATTGGAAAATTTCAAGAAGAAGAAGAAAGAAGTCAAATCAGAGCTTGAATTAAATTCATTACAATAAGGGTGTCATGTCTCTATTAGCTTCAGGGCCAGCCGGCCTCAGCCCTGGGACATTCAGGATTCTACCAGGTAGGGCCAGGCAGGCCCTGGCTTGGGCCAGCCCTTTGTAAGCTGGTTTGAAAGCTTGGGAAGGATGCTTGATGACATCAATTTTTCCAGAAAATTGCCTCAACAAGCCCTTTACCCATGCCTCCACAAAGATTTTTCTGATGGCCCTGGCCCCAAGTTTCCCTGGAACAGGGCCTTTGTCACTATCACCAGGTTGAGTTTAAGGCTTGGTTTTGACCTAGCCTGGAGACCACTTGGGTAGACTTGGCCAGCTCATAGCCCAAGATTGCATACACTTGCACTTGTTTCACCTTTTGGATTCTCTGCCCTGCTTGGCCCTGAGTGATTTTGGGATACCCTTGTGTGTACCCAAGGCCGGATTTAGCCCTGTGTCCGGCCCTGAAATCTCAGGGTCGGGTCACAGCCCTAGGCAGGACAGTGGTGTCTCTCTATCTCATGTATGTTGGACATGTTACAAGACTTTGCCACACACCTATCTAAAATTGATATTTCCTCAACTTCCTTGGCTTGGCATGTTGTTTTCTTTTGTTTTACTGATATGTAAGATGCCAAAAGACTTGTTCTAAGAGTTGGATTCAAGATATTGATTCTCTCTCATAACAGAATCTCTCCTTTGTTTTTCTGAACTTAAAAGACAGAATACCATGAGTGTTGAAAGAAATTATATTAACAAACAAATATCATCCGTCAAACCTAAAAAAAAGATCACGATCTGTCCAATTTCATAAGACCCCCATAGATTTTTTTTACCATTCTGCTTGGCGTTTTATATGTCCTTTTGTATGTTTTAATATGTATATGTATATAAAAAAAAGTTATACTTGTGATTAGAATCTTAATCTCACAAGTTTGATAAAAAGATATGACGATATCTAAGTTTTTGATCAGAATCAAACCAAAACCCAAAGAAGATGAAAAGGAAGGAAAATGGAAAATGGAAAATGAAAGGTGACGAGATATGTTGTAGAAAAGACTGGAAGATATGAAGGAAGTGATAGTTTGAAGCCGAAAAAGAAAACATAATGATCAATGTAACCAAGTCCTTGCGACTGATCTAGGATTACTTGGGCCAGCTCGAGGATTTGAGGCGACTCGAGGGTTAGGAGTCGCTCGAGAATTAGAGGCTGGTCCAGGTTGAGGGGTATTCCGACGATGTCTAGCAGGACCATGAAGAGAGTTACCAGGATGATCATGATATCCAAGATGATAACCAAGATACTGATGTCGAGCACCCGGAAGTTGAGCTGGTGGAGCTGGATGATGTAATTCAAAGCCTTCGATCCCAGGTAAGTTTAAACCACGATGAACAGGAAAATCATCATGTTGTACAAATAAACCAGCTGCAGGTTGAAGACCTAAGGGAGTTTGATGATTCGGTTTTAGACGGGCTGCTGTATCGAGTAAAGCTCTTCGGTTTGTCCATTGAGTTAATTTTTCTTCTCTTTCAAGTTCCATAGCTAATGCTTCTGAATCCTTGCCTTCTGATCTAAGCATACTAAGTTGATGATCCTATCATTCATAAATAAATAAAAATTAATGTCTTGAATTGAATCTCTTCAGATTCATTCAACACGCTTGAATGAACTTACAAAGTATTTTTGTATGATTGATTCAAGAATATACATTCGAGCAGGTGGTGAAGTCGATTCTTGTCGACAAGATGGACAAACCGACTAAAAGTGAAAAGAGTTGAAGATCAGTCTCAATAAGTTTTTTAGTGAAGTTAAGTAGATTGAACTTTGTTCGCGTTTAGATCGACAAACCTCTTTTTGTAACCAATCATGTGCACAACTACCACAGAATGAATGACCGCAAGCGAAATTAACAGGCGAAACAAATAATTCACAACAGATTGGACAAGCTAATTCTGAATTAAGAAGCAAAAAGAAAAAAGACAATCGGATCAGAGATTGATATAATTGATCAAATTTTAAGACAAAAAAGAACTTACCTTCATCTAAGTCAAGAGAGGGAGCAGAAGCAGAAGAGGAAGGTTTTGTAGGATGATCAGGTTCAGGTGTTTTTGATTGATAATTAGATAAAGTAGTTTGTTTTAATTTTTTTACATGATGAAATCGATTTTGATCAAGATGATGACTTGTACTTGTACTTGGATTTGATTGAGTTCTTTTATTGGTAGAAATTGGAGGTGAATCTAATGTTAAATCAATGATGGTTGATGTTGATTTCTTTGAAGTCGATTGAATTCCTTCATCATCTTCTTGAACTTCAGCTTTGTTTTTGTTTTTGTTCTTCTTTTCTGATCCGATCTCGATTTCGTCGTCTTGATCTGAATGAGATAAAACTAAGTTCAAGTATTTGTTTTGATTACTCATATCGATTGGAATCGAGTAGTTGTAGTTGGTCAGTGTCCTTGTTGATAATCGATGATGGAGAGGAGAAGAAAGTTGAGTATTTTTATTTTTATTTTTTTTATTTTTTTTAAATATTTTCACTGAGCGTTTTAGAAATTCTGAAGATTTCTTTTGATCAACTTCTTCTCAGCAAACCTTTGTGTACAAGTTCGAGTATCCTAAAACCAAATTACTAAAACTGGATTTGATTTACAGTTATGTACTTGAATACAACTTCAAAGAAATCGGTAATGTTTAATGGATACAAATCTTTCCATAGGAATCACAAACTGACAAACCACCATCTTGCCTCATGTTGATGTCCATCATCTTTGTCATTCTTTATTTCCTTTCTATCCCATAATTCCTCAGCTTTGGATTGTATTTGGAATACCAAATGCACGATCTGTACCATAACCACAAACTTATAAAGGTACAATCATACTTGTGTACCCCCTGTGTGTGGACTTATAAGATACAGAAGCTTGATTTCATACTTGGACAAAGGGAAATGATTGTATTTCGGAAGTGGATATCACAGATGAAATGTGTTCAATAAGATATGTATCTCGTGAGGGTAACTACCTGTTATTTTTGCCCTTTTCCCTCTCTTGTATATTTGCTTGCAACCTTCGACGTCCACTTCCAGGTTGTAAGATATCCAACCAAATCGAGAACATACCCTCATTCGCAGATAAACCTTGAACAGACTCTGCTCAGCCGCCTAAAGCTAGTTGGAAAAACGAGAAAGGTATCATCACAATGAAATACAAAGGACTCTCTGCAACTGTTCTGATCCAAACGGACTAAAATGGGTGCCAACTGTTTCGTTTGATGCGAACCCAATCGCTTCACAGAACTCCTTTGTGTTTCCCCTTGTGCAGGTTTTACACCCACCAATCAAATATTTGTTCGAGTTCACTTGAAGACCATTCACAGAAATGCAAAAGTTACGTGTTATCAGCTTATAAGCGTGTACGATATTATTCGAGTTCCTTTTGATACAAGTCTGATTTATAGCAGGTGTTAGGACACTCTTAAGCTCGCGAAATCGGTGCCTTTTGAATTATCGACGAGAGCAAAAAAATCATGTGCACTCTCCTCATCGGTTTAAGTGTCATAACTAACCGAAAGCTGGATATCCTTACGAGTTTTTGGGAAAAAAGAATGCGTGATGGGCAGACACTTGGTGATTGAACATACCCTATGATCAGAAAAGGCCACTCTCATTGAAATGTGGACTAAATATTTTTAAATGCTAATCCGACTGTGAAGCAAGACCCAATGCTCAATAGGAAGCGAAATAATACGTAGTGGTACACTTCAAAACTCAAGATCATGGTTATAAGTACAAGGCAACATGAGATGGAACAAGAATTTATTCCATATCATGAAGTTCAGCGTTCAAACTAGACAAATAAAAAAGATAACAGTGAATAGCTTTGGATACTAATAAGAAAATGTCTCTGGAATCAAAATAGTATTCAACTTTAAAAGGAGATTCAAAAACCATTGTGTGATTGTCTTTGAACACGCACGTAACACATAAACAATAATAAATCAAGACTCGGAACGGACACCGCTATCAAACTTCACCACGGCTGATTTGCTGGAACTTCGGTTTTGCTGACCAGACAAGAAATCTCAGTGATGATTTGGTCATGATGAAGAGTTTCAAAGAATGTGTTGACTCACAAGTCCCATGAAGTGATCCTAACATCTTGATCATTATCTGTGAAGCCAAGATCTGACATCACCTACACAGAGAGTCATACCTGTCTGTCAGGAAACAATTCTTAGGGTGCCTTACTCATGATAAATCATACCTGATCAGAGAGATAGATATCTGAACATCCATGATCAATGTCAACAGGTTTGCCAGTACTGAAAGCGCACCCGTCCGCAATAGTTGCGTCTACAGTCCGACCATTGGCAGTTACAGTACTGTGGAATAGAGAAGTCAGTCATTTATATTTGATAGTTGAAAAAAGAATGCCTACACAGTTTTGAAGCAATTGTTTAGGCCTTTAAGTTCTCTGACATAAATAAAGCCCATGTTCAACTCATGTCAGCATAATTGGTGTGAATCATACTTGATGACTAGTATGAACTAACCCAGTGAGCCATCCAGAGACATAGTTTGGGTCATCTTTACCGAAGGAACCATTCCAGAGGCACACCATACGATCCTGACCGCTGTAGGTCACGCCGCATGCCTGGGTAGTCAAGTACGGTATCAACAAGATGTCGGACAGACAAAAGTATCACCGGTGATAAAGATGATCGCATGCTTACACCTGTGAAACCAGAAGAGCCGGAAATTCTCTTACTCTGTAACGAGAAGTATCGGTTGAGTAAGTAAATGACAAAGAGCTCTAAAGGGGGTGACTTACGCGATTAGCAGGTTCAATGTCATTCTGTGAGTTTACTTCGGCTGTCTTTGCTACCAAAGCAGAAGTCTCGAGACTAGTAAGCTACCAAGACGAATTATCCGTTTGCATACATGCACGCATCAGTTTAAGCATTAAGACACTAATTGAAGATGCAAGTGCTGACTCGATGAGCGGACACTCCGTTTGATTTTTTGAAGTCATCTCTCCACTTGCGACACCTACTATGAGGGTTTGCTGTGTTGTCTTTCGGCGCAGGAAACGTTGTAGATTTTTGTCCTAAGACGTTGGTAAGCAAGACTATAAAAAATACCGAGGCAACGTTCAAAAGCATTTTAAGACAGTTAAAGGTGCAAAGAGAATCGATACGGAAGAACTTGTTAGTTATCAAATCAGAGTATGTAAGTGATGGAGTGAGCTGATGAACAAGAAGGCTGACTGCATATGGCCTTTATATAGTCCTCAGGGCAGTGCAAAACAAAGAAATGCTCGCGAACGGATTCTATACTCCCCACTTCAAGTTCGCATCGCCCCTTGGAGTAAACTCATCAGAGTCCCACGCTGTCGCTCGCAGGAGCCTCGGAGCCTCGGAGCCTCTGGAGTCTGCGCTCTTTCCCAGAATCGACAAAGACCAAATGAGTCGATATCATTTGAGATGTGTCCAATCGTTCGAAAGAGGAGAAAAAAAGCTTTGCAAAGATGAATAGAGCCAATCAATTTAACTCCTGTTTCGTCTGACTCTGATATTGTAACATCAAATCCACACCGCATGGCCTTTGTTAACCGGGTCACATCTTACCATCAAAAAATCACCAATCTCTGGAGCTTGCGCAAAGTGCCCAAAGGCCAGCAGAATCATGAGTGAGTGGTGAGTGTGTAAATGTTAATGGAGCGCGCATCAGCCATCGGACTTTAGACATCTCTTACACCGCGCAATGCTATGTATAAATAGTTATTGTACAATATTGATCGATTCACCATTCTCAAGGTCCTTGTGGGGAGCGAGGGCAATGCAGACAATCCTCCCCCTTGGTTTCGGAGTCACGAGACTTGTGGAGTCGAAGCCCAGAAGAGACAAATGAGCAAGTGATGGGAGGATATGGGGCGGCATTAAGCAGTGATGTATCTTCTCCAGGGAGCCCCCACGTCCATTTGTAGCTTGTGAGTTGACTCCACTTGCGCTGATGAGGTATGAGTGCACTTCCAGTACAGATCTGTTGCGGTGTTTGCCAGCAAATCGATTCCCATGAGACAAGAAAGATTCATGTTCCGACACCGCCTTTCAGTCAATAGAAGATATCCATTACCTTATGGACCCAGAGGAGAGAAGTATCATCTGACAATCCCATTGCAACTCCAGAAACACTAGACCAAACTGATCAGTCAAAAAGAGCTTGGCTCTTTGTATATTATGGGCTATCCAAAATACAAAAAACCAAGCAAAACTTGAACTGTTCAACATGTTGACGCGCTTCTACCAAGCAACTCCTTTCTCATGTGAAGGTGAGGAATAAATCCCTCGCGGGGATCGACTCATTCAACCAGAGTTGAATCACGAATGTCAATGATGAGACAAAAGACGATTTATTGCCGTATAATATAACATTCAACTGCTGCTACACTACACTGCGCGTATCAGTCCCATAAGTATCACCACATCTTCATACATTGGGTAGCCAGATTTCTGGCATTTGTGCACTCTATTTTGACTTTGAGACCGAAGCCAACAGGCATCATGATGATGTAGCAGGAGAGCATTGATCTATGCCAATTTGCTCACTTTAACTTCACCAAACATCTCTCCTCTAGGAGATCCAGACTTATTATTCTTCAACTATTCAAAGAATCAAGAGAAAAGCATATACATAGTATCATCTACCTTTGACTATCAAGTCTCCAGACAACTTCCAAGATTCTCATCTGGCATGACCAAAAAATTATATCACAAAGAAAACTCCCTTTCACAAAATGAATAATCCACAACTAGGACCAGCATAACAAGACATCAACTGACTGTTTTTACCCAATAAATCTTCAGTAAAGAATGCTTTTAAACCCATCTCTATATAAGTGCAAAGTATTGCCTAACCCTACTTACATATAATCACATATCAAAAAAAAAAGAAGAAATCAAACACTAAAACTTCATCAACACATATCTCCAGTTTACGATCTTAAGCCTTGACTTGATTTTTGGTCTACTAAAAGTGTCAAGATGAAGATCTCAAGTATAACTCTCTACACAGGAAGCCGATGGGTCCTTCCGTTGGATCGAAATCATACATATGATATGTCATGAGAAATGACCTTTTAGTGGGATGAAGGTACACTTTTTCGAGTATTTGATGTTCAAACATTCATCAAAACACGTCCAGACACTTTATCATCAAACTGGACTTTGCCGTACACCGGCAAGTCGATCTGTAACCTAAAATTCGTAAACCATACAACCATTTTTTTCGGTCAACCTTGTACCCATCATCGCTTGCTGGGATTGTTTCAAAGACTCACTCCTCTGATGTAAGGTAAACTTAGAAACGTTCCTACCATAGGAACTTGCCGTAAGAATGAAAGAACCACAGGAAAGAAATCTCTACAAAACAAAAATCGGAAATCATGAATCAGTTGCAAAGAAGCGTTACCAAAAAAGACAGAAAGACGAACTAACCCAAATAGATTCAGAAATCCTAAGTAGAGACCGAAAAAGAAGATCAAGGTATTAGATAGATTCACATTTATTTAGTTAAAAAAATCACACCAACCAAACATCTCAATCAAGATCCCAAAGAAAGGATATTTAACGAAAACTCTAAAAAGAAAATATCAAGTCCATTTCAATCAGTTACTTTTCAGTGACTTTATTCAAAAAAATCTTTTTGATTCTAAAGGATAATCAATTGGAAAACTAACTAACAAAACGATCCCACCTAAAAAACATACAGTTCCACGAATCTTATTCCATCTTGCAAAAAAATAATACGTTTTCCTAGGTCCAATCACCAAGGTGATTCCCGAAAGAAAAAGAACCTAAATTCTCTCCGTCCCACCCCCCCACACCACGACCAAGAAAAAACCAAATCAACCCATCAATTTTATATAAACTCATCATCAATTTAAAGATTTCTTTTTTGTTTTTTTGTTTTTTTTTGTTTTTTGTTTTTGATTTATCTACTTACATTTCCTAATGCTAATAAAGGTCCATCAAAAAATAACATACTACCAAGTAACAAAAAAAAGAATCCAGCAGTCGTAAGTCCTACACCGATTTTTTGTCCATCTGTTCTATTACCATCGGAAAAAGAAAAAAAATAAAAATAAAAAAAACAAAAAAACAAAAAAGATTCATGTTGTTTATCATTAGTACAGGGTTTCGTATATATTTTTGGAGTTGAAAGATTTCTTACAGCCACATTCTTTTAAATTGGTTTGGGTTCTTGGGGTTCAAGGAGGTTTAATGATTCTTGATTCGGTTTGATCGGTTCTTAAGGCTTGAGAAAGTGTAGTTCTAAGTTTGATTTCTTTAAATGATTCAGTGGTAAGCTTTGGTTTGAGTGGTTTTGAGGAGATGAGAAGTGTTGAAGTGATGCTGAGCTTGGTGGTGAATGAAAATTTAATCGTGAAGGATATATTGCTCGAGTTGATGACCTGATGACGACGATTTCTCAAAACTGCAGATGTCAACTATCTGTCACGCTTCACTCTGCCAATTCAAGCCCTTGACACCTCTTTCTGAATCAGACTCTCGGTCTCTGATGGTGACATACGCGGGTCGGCTCATCGGGGCCACAGGATGAGAAAAACATCTTCGCATCTCTTCTTGCCTTCTTCTCTCTCACCCTGCTAGACAGCAAAGGCATGTTAGAATCATGTCCTTTGGGCTCATTTAAACCGCTTGAAAAATGGTCAAGAAGCAAACCCACAAATCACACAATACTCAGGGATACCTGAGCAATGGGTGGATCATTTCATTTTCTTATTCATTTGAATAATTGAATTATTTCAATCTTTCTTATCAAAATCTCTTTGGTAAAAGAAAGAAACCACAACACAAAGAAAAAAATGTTCAAAGATTTCTCTAAAAAACACAATCCAATCTAATCCAATCCAAAAAAATCTTTGCAATGCTTATTTCTTTCCCTTTCATCTTTCCCCTTATTCTTCTCTTATTCTTCTTCCTTTTACATATATACAAAAAACATCAAAAGAAAGACATCAAAAGACCAATCAAAAAGTAAAACCAGCAAATTAAAAAAACAAGACCAAAAAGAAATCTAAAATCTAAAATTTTGTAATGTTTTTCTTTGGTGTTTGTTTAAATACTTACATCAGATCCAAGTGATTGTTAAAAAGAATAATAAACAGATAAATAAAATGATCAAAATCGAAAAAACAAATCAAAAGAACCGTTCATTTTTCAAAAAGATTTGTAATGATAGAAAAAAAACGAAACAAATCAAAACGAAAATCATAAAACGTTTTATATAAAAAAAATATTAAACCAAGAAACCCATGATCATCTTCATCTGCTTCGAATCCGAGGATCAAGAATTAAAAAACCCCACCATACAGATCCACCAATTGCTTTCCCTCACCAAAAAAAACAGAAAAAAAAGCAAAAAAAAGCAATTCAAAGGTCTACCGAAATATACAAAACACTCGAAAAGAAAAACCAGAGAAAAGAAGATGCAAGGTTTTACGTTTTTTCCCTCTTTAAAGCCTCTGTTCAAAGGATTCAATCACATAAACGTAAAATTCAAATTAAAAGATACACTCCTAATAAACTAAGAATCAATAAGTTTTCAATTTCCTATGTTTTTCCCTAAAAGTATCTAATCGATTCAAAACCTTACTATCAAGTACCGGAACGGCCAGCACAGACTTCTTACATTCCCTAATCTTTTCCATTTCTTTTTCCTTCAAACTCTCTTCTGTTTCTTCTTCCATCTCTTCCATCTCTTCTTCTTCTTCTTCTTCGAATTCTAATGTCAACGAATTCTTAGGTTGTTCTTCATCGTATTCTAAAAACTGGAGTGTTCCAAACTTGGCTAATCTATTTAAACTTACAAGTGATTCAGTTAAAGTAGGTAATCCGAATGGTAACTAATCATAAATCCCATATCGATCATCAGTTCATAATCAATTCCACAACCTTTGAAAAAAACCAGCTTACCATATATCTAGAATCCAATAATTCACCTAAACATTCAGGAGAAGCAGGTGGAAGATAACTCTCGAATTGGCTTTCATCCATCAATCCTTCATCAATAGCTTTGACCGCATTATCTTCAATCACTTCAGCTCTCACTAAACCTTCTAATCCATTATAGCCATTCCCATTACCTTGATGAGCTCCCATCATCTCTTCTTCTGCTTTTTCTCTTTCTTCTAATTCTTCTTTTCTACTTAACCTTTTCTTATCCCAATCTTGTTGTAATTTCACTAAATACGTTCTACCTTCTTCTGTCATCTTGGTTTCTTCAATCTCATATCTATAATCTTTTAATGATTTTAACATTTGTACTGGATTCAATGAACTCGGATTCAATTCATTAATCACGCAAATCAATTTATTCATATCTTGAACTTGTTCATTCGAAATCGATTGTAACCATTTCAACATCGAATTCAATGGTTTAAAGTATTCTTGAATCAATCGATTCGGTAATCGATTATGTCTTGACCATTCTTCAATCACATTCACATTCAATCTGATCTCCATAGCCTTCGATCTACATAAATATTTCCTTCTAGTGATGATTCGATTAAACAATTCACATCCTAACCAATAAAACAATTGTGAAAAGGCTTGAACGATCAAAGACGAATGTAACTCATACGATTGTAATACATAAAGCACAGACGAAAGTAAATCAGTAATCGCTCGTGGTCCAATCGATTGATTGTTGGGGTTAAGATGATTTGATTTTAATGGGGTCGTATTAGGTGATGAGACTTGATGAGAACTTGATCTTAAATGAGTTGGAGTCTTGTTAGGTGTTTGTTGAGCAGATCCAGATGAAGGAGGTGAACGAGGTGAGCCGACCAAAAATGAACTCAAACTAGGTTTCAATGAAGTTTGTCGACTCCTTTTAACCGTCAAAGCTTTCACAAATCTCCATGATCCTTCTGGTTCGAATTCGACATGTTCAAATCCAGGTAAGGGTTGAAAATCTAACATTGATGAATCTAAGACCTTATCTAATCTTCTTTCTGCATTTCTGATAACCAAAACAAAAATCAAATTAATTAAATCTTGTAAATGAACTTGAAATTCTTTGGAAACCGAATTCAAATGTGGTTCTCGTTTCAGATAATAAAGTAAAGTACAGCAATTGAATAACCAAAATGCAGAATTCGCCATACTATCCTCACGAGCCTATCAACTCGACCAGAAAACAAAATCTCGATCAATATCGAACCTTTTAGCACCAAATCTCTGTGTTGTCTGTTTGCTTACCAAGACCACATCTTCAATCTGATCCAATGCACCCAAGATCAATTCTTCAAGTAAATCTTCCGTACCGAAATGAGCAGCAAATCTTGCACAAAGAAAGATCACATTCGAAGGTACAAACCGATGATTTCTTGATCTTTTGGGTTCCATCGAACTGATCACTGCATCAAATATGATCGGTAATTCATCAATCGAACAAACTAACATTTGATCCGGTAAACATTGATCCCAATCGAACTCTTCTGATCTTTGTTCTTGTTCCCATGCTTCAATGGAATTTGAGTTTTGTAAATTGTTAAGATGATGTGAAGTATGAGAACTTAGAGTTGATAAAAATAATGAAGATGAGTTGAGATGACTAGCAGGTTCATTGTCTGTTGAAGTTGAAGGAAATCCAAATAAATTAAAATTAAGATCTAATGTTTTAGCCGCCAAGCTTGCAAGTTCACGTAATTGATTAGATTGTGATTGATGAGCTTGAAGTTGAGCTTGACGTGCAGCAGAAGGAGGACGTGGGGATTTCATGGAAGCCAAAGATGGAGGTCTAGAAGATCTACTCGGATTAGATTGTTGATCTTGAGATTTGAGTAAGGCATCAGCTTTAGCTTCTTCTGCCATTCTTAAGATATGACGAATATCATCACCCTCGGGTCCTCTTTTAGCCAAATCATAGGGTCTTAATCCTCGAAACCTTCTGGTTCGTTTTGAAGGTGTATCAGTAGGAGTAGTAGGACAGGATGGTTGATCTTCACAATAACTAAGTGAATCAGAAGCTAAAGTGGAAAACGAACTTGCAGATAAACGTGAATGAGTTGAGATTGAAGAAGATTGACAAGATGAAGGAGGCATGGATGATTCAGAATAAGAAACTAAATTGGTAGTTGCCCCATGATTGAGTAAATAAGATACGATTGTAAAATCACCATTCCGAGCAGCCCAATGAAGTGCAGTCCAACCGACTAGAAAACCCATTGAAGCAAATCAAGTTAGTATATTAAACTCTGAATCCGAGAATTGAGAGATGATTTAATGAACCTGAATCTCTAGAATCGACTACATTACCACCTATACCATCTACTATAGCACGTACAGCTTCAGGATGACCAAAAGCCGCGGCTAGAATGATAGGAGGAGTTCCATCTTGATCGGTTAAATTTAAATTTAAATATTTTCTTGGTTCACCGGGTTTTAAGATCGAATGAGTGAGATTAGAAGTAGATTGGTTTGAAAGATTGTGTCTTGGATGACGAGTGAGATGATTAGGAATTGAAGTTAAATGATGATGATCGTGATCTTTTGATAATAACCATTCGATTAGATCACTATCACCTGAACTAGCAGCCGAAAGGTAAGCTGAATTGAAGACTTCTTTGACTTGATTTTCTTGAATCGAATGAAGATGAATCGAATGAACCAGATTAGATAGATTGATAGGAGTAGGAGCCAATGCAATCAAAGGATCAATGTAAGAAGGATCTGGAATCAAACTTGAGTTTTGATGATTTGATGATGATGATAGTTCTTGTGATGGTTTTTTTGGTGATTGATGATTGATTGTTTGATCTTCAGTCATGTCTGATTGTTTTAATGTTTGATAGTTTGATGGTTTGATTGGATGGATGGATGGATGGTAATGTTGTTGTTTGACGGTTTGAAGTTGGAAATTGAAATTGGCTCAAGCTTTACCCTAAATCCAAATCACGTCAAATACCCGAATGAAAAAAACCCGGACGAACCCATTTGAATCTTCACATCTTTCAAACGGGTATCTTGCTCATCAAGCGCACTTTATAAAGTACTTGCAGTCTGAGGAAGATTGTAATTTAAAGTTGTTTTTGGATGAAAAGTGATTGATCAATCAATCTTGTTGTAAATCAAACATCAGAGAAACAGTTTTCCATGTTTACTTTGAGGTTGAGCCTTGTGATTGAGAAGTCTCAATGTCAGGTATAAAGTAACACAAATCCATTGCTTCCATATCAGTTGGCTCCATATTTCTGTGTATGAGCTCTAACATTATTTGGATGCAGGCTATGGCTTGCTTCATGTTCATTTCCTCAATGGCAATTTTTTGCTTTCTGGCCAATTCTTTTTCTCAATTAGAAGCCATCATTTTGGACAGCAGATCATCAATTTTTGTGGTGATGTTCTCTTGAATTTGTGCAGCACATTCTTCACTCTCAGCTTCTTCTTCTTTAGTACCTAGATGTTTGATTATAGAGTTGATACCTAAAAGATCTTGAGGTGAATCTGGAACAACAAGTGTATCTTTACTACTGACTCAACTGTATTTCCCAGACAGATTTGCAAGAAAAGCACTAGGGGTGTGGTCTTCAATAGCTGGCTTGTTATTCAATGGTTTTTGGAAAAGTATTTTGAGACCTTCCAATGGTGTATTCAGAGTTTGAGATGTGCAAGTTGGTGAAAGAAGTTGAGGCTGAGCAATTAAGAGAGGTTGAGGTCTGAACTGGATCACCTAACAAGTCCCTTGCCACCAATGTCATGGATTGAGGTCCTGATCCTACCCTGAAGGCTACCCTGACTATCATATTTCTTGTTCCCTCCTCCTGGTTTCTTAGCTAATTTGAATGCTTCAATGATGTCTTTTGAGACTGTAAATCCAAACATTTGACCCACCATGTTTGCCCTCCCCAGTTGATTTGGTCAAGTCATTAGAGCAGCTTTGAACCACCCTCCAAGTGTCTTAATCTACGTAATAAATTGATGAGTTAAAGAAGAAAACTACTTCAACACTACATCAAAACAAGACTCACCTTCCTTAAGCACACTTGACCTGGTCTGCTCAAATATTTCTTGCTTGCAAGAAACTCTCCCACCTCCTTGAAATGCACAACCAGCTTTTGTGTGCACCAAACATTGTGGTTTTTATATACACTGTACCATTCACCATCATTACTTTGAGGTATAATTTTTTTTGGTCAAATTCTAAGTCTTTGTTCTTGCCAACTTGAGTTTGAGCTTCATTTTGATTTTCACAACCAGAATCAGGCTGAAATGGACAAAGAGATTTCGAGATTCTGGGACTTCTTCCTTTAGAGGTTATTCTTGTGGCTTCTTAGGGGGGTTAGGAGTGGCCATAGGAGGCGTAGGTTGGTTGGTTGATAGTGGTGTCAGATAAGAATATGGCCAGATGGATTTGGTGGAGGCGCAACAAGTTTGCTGGGAGGAAAGGGTTGGGACTGTAAAAGCTGTCGAGGGTAAAGTTGCCTGAGTTCCGCCAGTATTTGTTTCAATAGCAAGTGTTTGCACAAAGTTCGTTGAGTTGGTTGAAGTTAATGTGGGCATAGTTTGAGAGGCGATTGGGACACATGGAGGTGGTCAGGTTATTTGAAGTAGGCAAACTTTGGAGTTGTAAATTGAGAATGATCAGTAGTTGAAAGGTACATCAACTGATCATCAAGTAGTATACCAATCATAGTGCTTATGTAATCCAAATTATTCAATTCCAATGCTTCATCCAAATCCATCTTTCAACTTCTCAATCAAACTGAAGTTCTCCTCATCAGATTCATCATTTGGATATCCATTCTCAATCTTTAACACATTCCATCATCAAAACACAAAATACACATAATACACATTCATGAACCATCAAGTGTTTAATAAAGAAACCTATCTACATTCATCTCCATCATCATCTTCTCATTCAATACAATCATCATAGTCAACTTCATGATTCATCTGCACACTACCTTCTACTACGATCGGACTACCAGGTACGGATTCCAATACAAGTGGGGGTGGTCTAGACCCATGACCATGATGATGTTGATGATGATGTGCTTGTTGATGATTCGTTCCATGTCCTCCTTTCAAATACCTTAATCTAGAAAGCCCACCGCCACCACCGCCTATACTTTTATCTGAATCAGTACTACCTGCTCGATTACGATGATCTGTATATCCATTCGGTGGATTCGGATTACTCAGATTCCCAATCAGATTTCCCGAACTTCTTCTAGATCTAAGACTAGGACTTGGTCCACTTCCACTTCGTTCATTCACTCCTGAAAGTTGTAATGGCAATAACCTATTACTCAGATTCGTCATGCCCGTCATCGTAGGTGATTCAGATCTAAATTGAGTGGTCAGATTAGGTGAAGGGGCTCCCATTCCTGTACTACTACTTGTTAATGACGTTCCAGTCGATCCACTACGTGTTCTGAAATCTTGAATCGCTTCTAAATCTTTACAAATCAAATGTGAGACGGTTTTGGCTGTGAATGAACTGGTGGGACTACTAAGCGGTTTCGAATATGATTTCTTACTACTACTAGCAGCTGTAGTCGTCACCATCGAGTTAGGAGAAGGTGGAATACGTGAATTCGAAAGTGGAATGACTTGTGGCATACTGATCGATCGGTTCGGTCCTGATAACGAAACACCAAGTCCAGAGAGAGTTTCATCTGTTCTGATCGGAGCTGGTGGTCTTGATCTAAAGGTACTGGTCGAAGGACTTCCAGACCGTTCGACCGAATTACCGGCTGCAATCACCGCTGCTGCTGTGGCTGTACGTTTGGCTCGTTCTTTTTCTCGATCTCGTTGTCTAGATCTTTGTTCAGATTTTTTCGATTCGAAATGAGATCTAGCTGATTCTTGTAAAGCAGATTGAATCGAAAACCTATATACATATCCTCCGCCCCCCACCAACACAAAAAAAATCAAAAGTTTAAGTCAATTCAAAATATCAAATTAGAAATGATCAAGAAACCGTATCGAACTAACGAAAATGCATAATCTGAAGCTGTAAATGTACTATTGTTCTTAGCCCAAAATGGACAACCTCGATCAATGAGTAATAAAACGATTTTAAGATGACCCCAACCTGCAGCACTAATTCAATCATTAATGCTTAGAAAAGCACACAGACACACACACCCAAGGGATGCTAAAAAAGAAAATCGTAAGTTTCTCAAAAGAAAGACTGACTAATGTAAACATGTATTCCCTTCATTATCTGTTAGTTCCACATCCGCATGTAGGTCTAATAAGAGCTATCCAAGCGAAAAGATTTGATCATTAGAATTTTTTTGGTCAAGATTTGGAAAGAAATTTGATTGACTTACTGAAACTGTCGTTTCGTGTCCTTTTTGAGAAGCCACATGTAAAGCTGTCATACCCTCTGAGTTGGCCCAATCCAAAACAAATCTAATGATCATGAATCAGAAAAAGTCTCCTGTTAAAAATCAATCTTATAAAGACTTACGGGTAATGAGAATGATAAAGAGTAATAATATCAGTAGAACCTCTTGATGCAGCCAAATGAATCACCGTATTATTCTCAGGATCCTACCGAAAAAAAAAACAGTTCAGTGTCCTTAACCAATCCAAAAGAAAAGAAAAAAACTTGAAACAAAACTTACCCTACTTACTGCATCTGATTCAACATGATATTCTTCAATTAACATTCTACACATTTCAACATCACCTACTTCAGCTCCAACAATCAAACTAGTTTTTCTGGTCACTGGATCCGGTTGACTTGGATCTAATGGACTTCCATCTGAATTAATAGCTGTATTTAAAAGTCTTCTAACCAAGTTCACACTTGAAGTTTGAATGGCTTTTTCTAATCTGTCATAAACAAAACAGATGGTAAGTTTCATTTTGTTTTTTGTTTTTGTTTGATGGGAAGTATAGAATCTTGATGGTTTACCTGGCAGAGGGTGATCGTTCGTCTTGAAATGGTGGTGGTTCTTGATGAGTATGTCTTCTTTTTGATGAACTTGAAGTTGACATGATGATAGTTGATTTCTTGTCTGATTCCGATGTTTATGACGCGAGAGTGTTGAATCCATGAATTGAAATTGTGTCATAGTAATATGTACTACTTGATATAAGCATATCCTTATACATAACCATCCCAATCGAAACCAAAAAAAAAGTTTAAAAAACATATCAGACCACTTTTGACACTTTTCAACCTTCAAACTTATCGAAAAGATTATAAAACATCATGACTTTAATCGCTTCATCAAGTAAACCTCACCAACCAAAGAAATCAAGAAAAGAAGAAGACAAAGAAAGTTCACATTCCAATTCAAATTCAAGTTCAGATCAAGAAGATGACAACTCAGGATCAGGATCAGAAGATGATGAAATCAGTACAGATGAAGAAGGAGATGAAGATGAAATCAAAACGTTGAATAGAAACAAACATGGAAACCAAACTCATCGGAAACTAGTTTGTGAAGAAGAAGATCGATCAGATCAAAGTGATGAAACTTCAAATCATATCTCTCAAACTACAAAAAGTAATTGTCCAAAACACTTCCTTCGAATCTTTCATCCAACATAACCTTCCATTTTAATGTTGATTTTGGTTTTCTGAAAACAGAACGTAAAAGAAGAGCCACTTCACCTACTACTTTTGGAACGATCCTATCCCAAGCCATCGAATCATCCAAAACATCAAATGCACATGGCCCAGCCACCTCACTAACCCAATCCTCAAGAGCCGCCCTAAAACAAGCCAAAAAAGATTCACTCCTAGAATCCAATCGAAAAAGAACGGCCTCTAAACGTCACGAGTTACAAGAAAGAGGTCATATCAAAGATGTCATAGGAGGATGGACACCTAGACCAGCCTTACCGTTTTCAGAATGGTTAGTCGGCAGAAAAGGTATCGAAATCGAAATGGTCGGTGGAGTAGGGCACGAGAAAGTCTTGCGAAGGTTGGCTCAAACAGGTGTGGTGAAACTGTTTAATGCGATCAGAGCTGCACAAAACGTTGTGGAAGATGAAGCCGGTCAACCGTTTGCTCCGGTCTCACTTAGTGGAGCTCAGAAACGTAAATTGAATAAATTGGCGGGGTCTAAGCCTTTAGAGAAATCGGTGGAGCATGAAAAGGAGGAGAAGGATCAGACGAATGAAGGTTTGGTTAGTAAGACTAAATCCAATGTACTTGGTAGTAGAGGAAAAGAACAAGCATGTAAGTGGTTTCACATCTTTGTTGAAATGTATTGTTTTTTTTTGCTTTTGGAACAAAGGTGAATCCTTGTGTGAAATTGATTTGAACTTGTTTTGACGATTGAAATTTAGTGTCGAATCTATCGAAGATTTCGTTTTTAGAATTAATTAAATCTAGTGGAATGAAGAAACCGATATGATTGAATGAAAAAGGAAAAAACACAATCGAGAGTTGATATTTGATATTTCAAGGATGATTTGTTGGTTTGATTCTTTTTTATGACAAGTTTTCTTTTATTGGATTCAAATTATTCTCTCGAATTGGAACCCATGAATTGATGAATTGAAAATCTAATTGGAGTGATTATAAAACCCTATAGAATACAAAGTTGTATGAACATCCAAGCCTTGTGTTATAAGATATGAAGCTCGAAATGGTATGTCAAAAGACGAACATCTCAGTCTTGCTTCTGTTCTCTAACTTTACACGCAACTCCGATCTTCCAGTTCGGGTTGGTAGAGAGCACTACACCCCATCAAATTCTACCAACACCTAACCTGGAACAGTGATGTGCGCCAAGTTCACTCTTGTTTCGGACGGATAAAACTTTTGGTCACTTTGCAAGTCAACTGAGACCCAGATTGATCTTGATCATCATTACAAAGTTTACCAATTTCTTGATTCTCCTGCTGCCTCGAAATGCAAAAATGTAAACAGAGATTGACCCTCTCCCCTGCAGAGGGCCCTCCAACGCATCATCTGTGCTGTGCTGAAGTGTTGATATATGCAAAGGATCTGTTTGCTATTGCCAAGACATTAGTTTTGATTTACCCGGATGGTTTGTGTGTTATTTACTCATTTTATAAATCGGTTATGTGGGGTCTTGAAATATGGAAGTTGAGTAAATTCAATAGTTTTTTTGATAAATAAACAGATCAATATAGACACTCGTTGCGAATCAATAGCGGATGATCTAAAGTGTGAAATTCTTGAAGTGATCACTGTGATTACCAGGTGTTTGGTTGTATCAACTTTTTTGGCAAATGGAAGTGTGATATGTACATCATACGTATTTCTTAGGAATGTAAAACATGATGAAGTTTTTTATCACACTATTACTGTGAATTATACTCTCTCTATTATTAATAATATCCCTGAGGTGAAAATTTGAAAATACTCAATGATTTGATCTATCCACCAAATCTCACTTGGCAAGCATGGTTCATCATGATTTGATGAGGTTAGATTGGTTTTAACCACTGCATGCTTTTTTATGTACACACAAACGGTCAAAGTCAAAAATGATTTGTTTTTTTTATAAAGTTTGGATGAACGCTTGAAAGTCCATTGATGATGATGTCATTTGGAAGGAACCGGAAGGAGAACTTGGCAAGAATCATAAAAACAAACTTGCGCATTGTTTAGATTCAGATTCATATTTCAGGTAAACACAAGATTACAGATGAGCTCATTGGAAGTACATAAACAACTTGTGCTATAACATAATATCATTTTGAAGTCTATCGCAGCAGGTCCTGAGGATGGCAATAAAGAATGAACTATATATTACTTGAGGCAGGATGACCGTGATGAGAAGTGAAGTTGAGAAAGTTAAACTGATTGGCTTGAGCAGGTTGTTAGCAAGTTGGATGGAAAAGTCGTTGATTGGAGATCATAAAACGATTCACAACCTTCAGGATATCATGACTTTCAACTTATAAATATTACAGAGTTTAAGCATTCCTGCTATCTACAACCTTTGAAATGAACTTGCATGAAAAGACATGGCTTCTTGGCAAGACAATCTGGATCTTCCTCAAGGGTATCTCATGGTCAATTGAGCTGATGATCCCTATTTCCCCGCATTGCTTTAGTGAAACGCTTTGATATGAGAATGATTTGGGGATTTGCAGCTAAACGACTTTATTCGATCAACCGATCAATTGGTACTATGTACCTAATACCTCCAAGACCCCTTATCAAGTAAATAAATCAGTAGTCAGACTCAGTACCCCTTATCTACTAATATATTACTCTTGAACCCCTCAATTTTAAGTTTCTTTCTTTCTTTCTGAAATTAAATATTCACTTGATTACCTATAAGAATCTACTTCACTTCATCCTACAATAGTTCTTACATAGCTTTATCCGATTATCAACTTCAGATTGATTGATTGATTGATTGATTGATTGATTGATTGCTAAACAAGTTGATCAATTCTCTTATTCGTTAACTATAGTTGCTTTCAAAGTATACTACTACTTCTTTAACCCTCAATCAAACTGTCTACCTCAATCTACACTTACTTCATCTCAATATGGCGTCGTCTAATACCAATAATAAATCTAATAGTAATCATACTATTAGAAACCCATTCAATTCTATCCTTAAGGCTCATGAACTCAATCAATTTGAGATCTCAGAGCTTGAAGGAACTCACCAAGTCGTCATCATTGGCGCGGGAATGGCTGGTCTTAGTGCTGCTCTAAAGTTGGCTAAACTTAATTACAAAGTCATCATTGTTGAGGCTAGAGATAGAGTTGGAGGTCGAATCGAGACTCGTGAATTCCAAACTTCTACCAAATCAAATGATAGTGTCAAAGAAGATCCTAGCCGAATCGATCTGGGTGCAAGGTGAGTTGAATGTTGACTTCTTTACCAATCTGGTAATTGGCTCTGAATCACGTGCTTACCACTTTTTGCGATGATGTTTCGGTACAGTTTTCTTCATGGGATCGAAGGAAATCCTTTGATCGATCTTATGAAGGAGTATAAACAAGTAAGTCCTTGATTTGGTATATCAGACTCTATAATCAGAACATACTCACCTGGACTATCCACATCTTTAGCCCGTGCATTTCGAGAATGAGGAGAGCCCAATGAAGATATACTCCTTCGATGGTAAGTGACTCAAATCATTTCTGAAGTGAATTGATCAAAGTTGTTCACAAGTTCTTCCTTACCATTTCGTTTGCAAAAAAAAACAATTAGGTCCAGCTCTTCCTGATAAGTCAACCAAGAAACTTATAGATCATGCGTATCTTACCTTTTTTGAGTCGGCTCGTAACGATGCCCAAGCTTCTGAGACTCCAGATTCGGCTGCTTCATTAGGTTCCTACTTATATGATCCTCAATCACCATTATTCAATGTGGCTAGTGGACCAGAGGATCGTTCAGTTTTAGCACATTTGGTTGGTGGATTAGAGAGTTGGACAGGAGCAGCTCTTGAGCAAGTCTCACTTCGTTGGTGGGGATTTGAACGTGAATTTAATGGTAAAGATGGTGTAGTCACTCATGGATACGGTGTACTTGTTAATTTAATGGCACAGGAGTTTATTCGATTAGGTGGAAAGATCATCTTGGGTTACGAATGTCTTGGATTAGAATACGACCTTGATGCTGGATTGGTGAAGACTTTAATCCGTCCAACTTTATCTGAATCTTTAGAAGATAACGCTCATGCAGAACGGATACCAAGGCCGGCTGAGGAGGCCGGTTCTAAATCAATTCAAGAGGGTGCCGTGATCAGACTCTCATCTGATTATACTGTCTGCACCCTTCCCTTAGGCGTACTTAAATCTATCTTGGTTAAAGATCATCTGTTCTTCAACCCTCCTCTGCCTGCTCGTCGATGTCAAGCTATTGAACGAATCGGATTCGGATTGCTTAACAAAGTTATCCTACGATACGATCATGCCTGGTGGCCAATCGATGCACCATGGTTAATGCTCCTTCCACTCAACCCATCTGGATCTTTAACTTCCTCATCGCCTTCTTCTATTTCTCTCTCGAGCTCTGGATCTACTTCATCGGATTCTAGTTCAGGAGCTTCGACTCCTTCAAGCGTTTCGCCTTTCCATGGTCATCTTCCTAACCATGCTTCCTTACTTGAATCTACTATCTTTGCTACTTCAGTGAAGGTACAGAACTATGTTCCGATCACTGGTGAAGCTGCATTAGTATTTTTCTTTGGTGCATCTGCTGGAGAAGCGATTGAAGAGCTTTCAGATCAATCAGTATCCGAAATGATGCACGCTAAATTGGTGGCTCACTTGGATGACGCTGAAGAAGATGATCGTCATCTTGAGATTCCTGAAGGACCATCTGAATGTATTGTGACTCGTTGGAGAAAGGATCGATTCTCACTTGGATCTTATGCTTTTATTCCTCCGTTTTCGAAGCAAGCTTCCAACTTGGATGAACCGGCTACTCCACTTGATATTATGGAGATGAATAGACCTTTGTGGAATGGTAGACTTGGTTGGGCAGGTGAACATTGTCAAGTTGATCATTATGGTAAGCTTTATTTTTCTTTTCTAATCTGATTGTCCTGAAAATATCACTCACATGCCGATGACTATTTTAAAAAATCTACTTTTTGACTATTGACCTCAAAATTGTTTATCTTCCAATACCACCCATCCTAAATGCGACTTAACTATTCCTATTCTTTTCAAATCGAATCGATCAACAAAAGCTTGTGTTCATGGACCTCATCTGAGTGGCTTAGAAGAAGCCGAAAGAATTCATGTGGCTATCCAAGCCAATACTACCGGTTCTCCTTCCTCCTCTGTCTGATGAGTAAGGTAAGGAAATGGGAGGAAAATGGGAAGATCATCAAAAAAACGTATCAAGTCGTCCATCATTGTAAGTATTTCTCAAATATCTCTGTGTGGGTTTGTTACTGATTGTTAGTTCTTTTTTGTGTAGGTAACGTGTTCTGAAATCTTAAGATTTTCTTGTAAGAAGTAAAATCACGGATTTACTTGAACCTATGAAGAAAAAGAACTTATAGACTTCATCATGATCGAGACTTGTATGTAAAGATGATAAAAAACAGATTCCCCTTAAACTTATACTCAATGAATTCTTAATTTTTGTTTTGAGAAATTTATCATTGATGTCAATTGTGTGTTTTTTTGATGTGATTGTTTGATTGTATTACCATTTTCTTTTTGTTTTGTTTTGAAGTCTTATGGTATTGGTGATTTGAAAGAAATACATGTCAGATTATGGTATCCTATACACAAAGTCAAATCTGAAACTTTTCCACAAAGTTTGCAAAACTTTTCTGAAAACAAAAAATTGGCTATGTTCTAGACTCCTGAACTTGTGAACAAAAAATACATCTTTGAATGATCTAGATTGGTGGGAATGGTACACTGTGGGGATTTGATTGAGTTTCAGAAAAGTTGTTGAATATATTTTGGATTTCTGACTTTCTGGAAACTTTTTGGAAAGGTTTTAGAAAGGTTTTAGAAAGGTTTCAGAAGTGGCTTTGGGCAGTATGATTGATGGAAATGTATTGGTTCAAGTATAGCTGGTTGTGAAATTAAATGTCTTGTGTGCAAAACTTCATGTGAGTTTGGTTGCCACACGACCACCTTTTACCAACACAGCAACAGAGTAACAGAGTCATTGGTTAGCCCATACCCAACCTTGGAATGACATGTGCTATATTGACAAACAGCATCTGAACTTTGGAACCCTGCCAGATACCACACACATGGGAGGCACACAGAGTTGTTGGATGAAGATTGTGACTTCATGCTAGAACTGCTGAATGGTAATCCTAGCCTATGACTAGAAAAGTGTTGACAATCTGTTTACCATTGTACTGGAACTTGGATTTCCCTCAATACCATTGCTAACAAGCTCAAGAATTTCCTGAACCTGATACTCAATAAATCTCAAACCTGGTATCCATTTCAAAGTGCCACCAAGCCCAATTTCTATGATAATCAACCCACTCACCTGATCAACCACAGTAGTTCCAGACAATTGTAACTTTTGTTAGGATTCACCACATCATACCTTTGAGGCATCAATATCTGGTATTGTTATTGGAAGCAGATGCCTACCAAAGCGCGGCTTTGACCACAACATTAGCTTACCTTTCTAGACTTCATTCTTTCCTACAATTCTGCATATTCACAATTTGCCCTGCAATCTGCCACCAATTTAACCAGAGTATGCAAAGTCCTCAGAGGAGTCACAGTCCAAATTTCACTTTTAGTAGAGAGCAAAGAACCACTCATGTGATTTCTTCAGTTTTTTTATCAATACTTCAATTGGTTTATTGATACCTTGAAAAATTAATCAATGATTCTGTGAAATCTATATACTCATTGGACAAGATCACAATCTGTTGAGTTTTGCATCAACAAAGAGAAGGCTTAAAAACAAAATATCACAAGCTTATCACTTCAAGATTGTGATTTTCTTTATCATTCAATACTTATTTGATGATTTTGGTAAGTGTTTAAAATTATTGGAAAAGAGAGTTGTGCAATTATGATGTCTCACCAAAGCTGCTGCCTCACTAACAACCAAGTTGCTGATCGATCTAGCAAGTTATTGATGATAATACAAGTAGAACAAGCAAGGTTTGCATGTATTGTAACAGTAAACAGATAAATCAAAAATCATTCAATCAAGAGGATGATTTTCAGACTTGATTGAGTATGATTTTGTACCAAGACATATCAACCACATCAAGTTCTCATCATCAAATCATGAAGACATTCATCCTCTTCTTCTGTTGTATTTTGTAACAATACAAAAAGACTTAAAAATGAAAGGGTTGGTATTTTATGTAGCAAGGAAATTGAGTTATCATTGATGGAGATGGATAAGATGTATGGAATTGGAATTGGATTGAGAGCTCGTTTAGAGCCTTGGTGTATGTTGCTTGAATAGCAGCAGAATGAAAGCTGAGGGCTTATAAAGCTCAAGCTGTGATTGTACACAGACTTTTGATGGGTCTTGTCTTGAATCAAACATGAGTCTGACCAGGAGCCAGATTTTTCTCTTTGGTTGGACAAGCTTTCATGGAAAGGCAGAATTTTTGGTGTCCAGGCAAGATACAGTGTGTAGAGCACAGGAATAACAAATGTGTTTCAAGCTGTGGAGTTGTAAGGATAGATGTGCATGAGGCTCAGTGTAAAACTGTTGCAGCTTTTACTGCTTTGTGCTCAAATTGTATATCCTCTCCAAGTGGTTTCTGTAATCACTCAATTGCTCAAGCAAGCAGTACTACTACCATGGCAAACCCTGTAGGAGAAAAACTTGCAAATATTTGATGATGCACGCTTGAATCTATCAAATAATGGTCCCATCCCTTGACTTAACTGACATAGGGTAAGATTGGAATGCAAGTGAAAATAGGAGGAACACATTCAATTGAAGCAATTTGACTTAATGTAAGGAGCCTGATGCCCGGATTCGCTACCGGTCAAAATCACTGGTTACAAATGCTAGGTGTGAAGGCGTGTACATCGTAAAAACAGCATGTTTAATCGAAATGATTTAATAAAGGAAAAGAAAAATCTAGTGCCACGAGAGTAAGGTTGTCTGCTTAAAAACATATTCACATAGAAAATTCTAATGATGTCTGTGGAAAACTGTGTGAGTGGAAGTGAGAAATGCATGGTTGTCATATCTGAGTAAAATGAAAAACATGCGATCATCGTGGATACGAAATACAAAGCATAGTAGGAGTAAGAAAACTGATAGAGCACTGTCCATTGAATTGTGCAAAGAGTCATGAAAATTTTGCAGAGTCGAAACGCAGCAGGTGCTTGAAACCTTTGTAATGTTCAAATTATAGATTTTTCCGAGTAGACAGCGAGATCGGAACTTTAAGATGTGCATTGGAGTCCTGATCAGTTGAGATTTGTCTCGCGGCCAAGCTTTGAAGGGTCCATTGATGGATGGCACCTGTTAGAACATCAACAAAAAGAGCATGATGTGTCAGACAAGATGTAGTCAATTCTGGTTGAGCACGTGAACATACCATTGTATTGTTTTACCGCATCCGACAAAGGGGTTCTCGGATGAGTGTGAGCTTGTGAAGGATCACTAGGAAGATGTAGAGAGCTAAAGCTTGAATTCTCTGATGAGACTGAATAGGATTGATTTGGTCGCATAGTGAATAGATGAAGATGAAGTAGGTAGGGTATGGTGCTATTGGTAGCGAAATTCTTAGGGCCAGGTGATGACTTCGTTAAAGCTCACTGGGTAAAGCTCGTTGATGTGTAAAAGGGTACTTCAATGTTCTTCCAATCATCAAGAAAGCTGAGGCTATTTAGGAAGTTCATGAAAAGACTGCCAAGGATCAAAACCATGGACCATTAATTCAGCTTGCCCAGAAGAGTCAGATGATGAATCGTAATTAACGATCAAGGCGTGCGGAAGGGTAATGACGAAAATTGCAAATATGACATCATATCGCATCGATCGAGTTCCCGTTCATTCATCATAATGCAGGTATCACGTCACCAAAGCATCACACTCTCAGTCCTTTACAAATGACCAAGTTGTTGAGCTTGCTTTTATTTTTCAAAGCGTTCAGGCTAGCGCATTGATAAAAGTTACAACTTTTCAAAGATTCATGACCTCTTTTATTACCAGTGACGTCAGAGTCAGGTAAACTTTCCAATGATATCTACAGTTGATTTGAAAAAGGTTGACCCGCAAAATTCAAGTGATTTGTCTCGAAACTCTCGCCAAGCTTTGTGAGTTTGATTGTAACTATACGGGTAGATCACACCCTCAGATTAACTTGAACCTAAACTCACTTTGAGTGTAATGATCCTTGCAAATGCGAAAAGACTTTAAAGCGTTACAGTCTAACCCGCGCTAATGCATAATTTGGGGAGACTCACTTTCCTATGCAATTAGACGGGTTATGCTTTTTGACCTACACCCCCAAAATGCATAAAAATATGCATTTAGATTTTGGGGTGTATTGCATAGAATTATGCATTAGTACGGTTATTGTATTGCCCCACCCATATGGGACAAGAGAGGGTGAAGGTGGGAAAACTTCAGTAAGAAAGTTTTCAATTTTGAGGACATTTGTTGTCTATTTAGTACGATATGTACAGAAAGAAACAAAAACAATTGTTTTCAAGAACATGGTTTATCGAATACAATGTGTTACAAAAAGCAGTCAACAAACAATAACTTTTGAGGACTTGTGCTTATTTGGTACGACATGTAGAAAAAGAAAGAAATTGAAGTATTTTTGAAGGTAATTTCTAGGTGGAGATCGATCAATAATCAAGTGTTAGGATATAGTCACACGTTGGAAGAAATCAGTTATTGCCACTTGTTTTTTGTTACCAAAAAAACTCGGACTCAAGCATCTCGGCATACTTCTGCAAAGAGTTGTCCAATTTGAGACCAGAAGCTGTACCAGTGCCCTCTATGTGTGCTAATTCCTTGTTTCCAGTAGCAGACATGATGAAGAAAGATGCAAAGTGATCTAAGGGAGCTGAAGATTGTGTGAGGTGGGTGATATCACTTCACTGATCATTCCAAAGCACAACTGCTGTTGCTTTTTGTCAGTATCACCACCACATCACTGGGTTTGACCTATGCAATACCGCTTCCAAGATATGATTTTTTTTGCTTTGACCCTATGCATTATGCAATATGCAATTAAAATCTTGTTTTGGCCCGCACCAGCGTGGTGGAGACCAAAATCTATGCATTTTGGCTGGATATGCATATGCGCGGGTATACAACAGCGCGGGTTAGACTGTATCTGGATGTTTCCAACTATGCACGGTGGTGGAGCACTGTGTGGTGGTGAATTAAGCATGAGAATCAACTTTCTCCTCCCTTCGTCCTAAGTCTACCACATCCCCTCCAAATACAAAGTCTAACTTTGTGATTGCACTACCGCTTTATTGTAATTCCACGGTTCACAATTTTTCATTTCAACATTTCAAGTTTTCGCTACTTTGAAGGCGCGTATTGTTTTGTACCCCACTTTGCATGGTTGTATCTAGATTTCTCCTCAACTCTCCATGTACTGTCCATTGCGAAAGTCTTGTCTAAATTTTCCCGTAAAACTCAATCAAGCTGGCGGAGAATTGTGGCCAACTTCTTTCTAACCGAAGGAATATAATGCAAAAATCAAGCTTTTCACATTTCAATAGCTCATTGACCCATCACTGGGTTTAAGCGTAGTAAGCCTTTGAATAAATGTGGTCTGGTACTGCACTGCTCACTTCATACTCGAGCAATTTGTCTAGAACAATTCAGCATAGGCATCTTTTCTCAAAATACATGAAGACCAATATGGGGTTGCTGTGCAAGTTCTAGGCAAAATATTGGCACCTTTCCATTCATCCAGTCGCCTATTGGTTGTCCCTCTTCACAGGACAGCATCAGGTTGGACAAATGATGATGCTGTGTGACTTGGGTAGGAGCACAGTTGGTCACTGTTCAACTTCCAGTAAGCTTTCTGTGGACAACCATGCTGGCTTGGATAGTGGTTATTACGACACCTCTTAATTGTTTCACTATTCCAAGGGGGTATAGTCAATTTTGGGTGATGGATAGCTGACCTTGATTGTGTTGAAGCTTTTGGCATGCTGTATGTTTCTAATGTGTGTACTAAATTTGCTTCTTAAAATCAGATAATTCACCTTATACCTTTTCCTATCATTATCTCACCATTCTCCTCTTGATTAAACTAGAGCTCCTGGGTGGACAGGAGATCCGCATGGCACTCAGATGCTTTCAGCATACCCGTCTGTTCTTATCAAATCTTTCAATCACCATCAAGGGTCATAGTCAATAGTCAAGTGTCGCAACTTCAAGCTATCTTTCCACTCTCAAGGGAGATTGCGAGTTGTGTTGTCGAATTAGTAAAGATTTTATCGTCGACGAACCAATCAAACAGACTGTAATACCTGAAATACCACATATGTTCACGTCAGAAGTATAGTATAGCCTAGCCGTTACTCTTGAGCCAAGCTAAATGATATCAACAATGCTAGTTGATGTTCACCAATATGAATTTTATATATCAATTTTCAAAGAAAAAATTCCAAACCACACAGAGTCCAACTACATCGCTTGCAAACTAAAGTCCCTTCTTTTTCTTTTTGATATATACAGATGAAAATCAATAGAAAACCAATGAGATGACCCAACCACAGATCTCATCATCCGACATATAAACGTGTCAGCAAGCAGACTGATTTTGTGTCAGATTAATCCCACTAAGAAAACATATCATAATAAAAAAACATATGAGAGCATATATGAAGAAGTAGATTGGAAAGACTAGAATAAGGAAAGATGGAAAGTAATAGAGGCCGGATTGTAAAGAGCATAACTAATGGGCGATCTTGCAAACACAAGGGTAAACTACGTATATCTGTTATGTGTGTGAATGTAAACCGGAAAGAGCTAAAGAGTCATGAAGAAGAGCAAGTATCAAAGCATCTCCTCATGTGATTGTCCATAAGAATAATGACCTCCTCCAGTCATCAATCGTGAAGAGAAGCCTTGAGAAGCGGTCCAAGAGGTTTGTTGAGAATATGCATTCTCTACTGTCATATTGAATGGAGCAAATGTCCTCCGTGAACGCACAATGTCTCCAAATTGACGTTTAGCGAGATCTCGGATAGGTTCCATAAACTGCGAACTGTGACTCCTATCATCTTCAGAGGTTGGATGAGCAAGATCGTTGAGCTGGGCAAACCATTTCTCGATAGATGATTCTGACAGGATGATACCATTGGTTGAAGTGATATGATAGATCTTCTCAATGAACTGTCGCCAGGCTTGTAGTAGATCTGGTATCAAAACTGAACGCAAAGGTTGAGAAGCTGCATAATTGAGCATATCTGATTGATCACGACTGGTGGTAGGCAAACAGTTATCGATCTTTTTGATGGATGTGGTGAGTAAGTACAGAAAACTGAATTGATTCGAGACTGTGGTGTGGATTTGGGATTGTTCGAAACCATCTTCGCCTTTGGTCCAGATCTTGAGTAAACCGAGACACTCGTTGACATACTCATTCAGAGGACATCGAACTCGGTTCCAGATGTATTCCTCTCGGTTAGTACGCTTGTTAGGTATCGATTCCAAGAGCTGACTCTCAACCTCCGCTAGTTTGGTGGTGATAGCTTCGATTGTGGGTTTCGGAAGTAGCGCGGGAATAGATCGTTTGAGTTCTGGGTGTTGAGCGACGATACTCTGAAGTAAAGTGAGAAGCTCAGGCTTAGTGAGACTAGCTGTAGACAATTTCGAAAGTAGGTCGAGTGAGTCGATAAGTGACGTTATCCTGAATTCAATAGTCTCGCAATAACTTACAGAATGCTTTTCCCAAATCAATTTGATCCTCTCCATCATCCTTTGAATCGCTGGTAGTCATATCAGCATCCGAGGAAGACTGACTAACGCCCTTCTTGACTCTTTTAATCGGACAGGCAGAGATGATTCGAGTTGAGATGGGTTGCTGGTCGTGATCCATTTCCTCTGATGTACATCGTTTTCGAGTCTTGGATGAAGAAACCGCTCTGGGTTGTTCTTTCTTGGGAGATAAAGATGTAGGTTGAAGAAATGATTGAGAAGGTCTAGCGAATCCCCATGAGAGTGGAACAGGAAGAGCGGGTTGTCGGAAGGGAACTTGATGACTCATTGGTAACAAAGGAGAATGGGTTGTAGTCCTGAAATATAAGAAGCGCAGTGTGATCAAGTTTTTAGTCAGACAAACACAAACCAAAGTTGATTGAGAGAAGAGACTCACATGATGGAATCCTATCTATATATCTTTACGATGTATATCTGCGTTGTAAACTGATTTGAATATACTAACTGTATGAGCAGTTGAAGTTGATGGATGGTGAGTATAGACAAAAGTATGTGATGACTGATTTTGATTTGGAATGTAGTTAATGTTAATCAGAGCTTTTGATGTAATCCTCAGTTGTTCATTAGAGGAAGAAAGAAGCAGAAGATTGTTACTGATACTGATGAAGGATGAAAGGATGAGAATCGATGATGATAGGAAGAAGTTCTCAACTTGGACTTCATCTCAACATTGCCCTCAGTCTCAGCTAGCCTCAGCTGCAGCTTATGTAAATCACATACATTGTTTTTTTAATGCGATTGTTATGACTTGTTACATATGTCATTACAGCTGTCTCTGAGATAACCCATAGTTTCTGGGTGCAATCAGAAACTATGGGTTATCTTAGAGTATGGGCTACACCAGGATTCTCTGCATGAACCCATGAATTGATAGGTATGGGTTATTGCAGAGATTTTTGGCGGAAGGCAAGACAATAGCGCTTTTAATGCATATGATTCAAGAAGAATGAGAGAGGAAAGACAACAGGTTGTGCTGGACTACGTAGTGTTTTGGAGTGTGTGGCACTACATGCACCCAGAGCTTGCTGTATGGAATACAAAAGTTGGGAAGGCTCAAGATGGATCTCATTTATTGCAAGAGCTGGCAAGGGCTTCTCAGCGCAGTCAATCAATGCAAAAGTAAAAAAGCAGATTAAGCCATCTCTAGCCCTTTCAAAATTGAGGTGAGAAACACCTCAATTGTGGTAAGTCTTTTCCTGAACTTAATACTAAAAAAGATCAAGATAGACTAGATATCAAGCTTGAAAAAGATTGATATCTATTTGAATTGATTTTCAGATGAATCTTGGGCTTGAATGAATTAAGTTGAGATAAGTTGTTGAGTTAATGTTCTTGTTGATAAAGGTCCCATATTGTTGATATGGTGAAATTCAAATTGTCAACTTGCTGAGAGATCTTGAACAAGATTGATAGTTGATATTTTAGCTGATAGGGGATGTTGAAGTTAGATTGGGAATGTGGTGATCTGATCAAATTCCAGAAAGGCAGAACACATTCTGGCTTTCTGGCTTTCTGGCTTTCTGGAAAATTTTTATGGAAACTTTGCAGAAGAGTTCCAGAACAGCTTTGTGTAGTATAATTGACATGGTTGTTGATGATATTATTGATCCATGATTTCTATTTCTAAATAAGATAGACTGCCTCCTTTTTCTAATTTATCTGCTTTTTTTTGTCATGAAAATTAGATCACAATTGATCTATGTTTTTGATGTTCTGAGACCAGATTACCTGACCATCTAGCCAATACCACTAGAGATTTATAAAATCTATTCACCTGCAGAAGATTCAAAAGGTTAGGTAGATTGGCTGGTCTAAAACTTGTGGGAACTCCATGTAACAGGACCTGGCATGTATTGGGAAGTGTTTTCAGATTATTGTCTATTGGATGAGTCCATTGATGTTCATTTTGTAGAAGAAATCTAGCTTCATCCTGTGATCATGTAAGCAGTCTTTTGGGCATGGTTTTGCTGCACCTTAAACCCAAACTGGTTTATCTTCTAAAGTTATGATCAAAGCTTGTAATACAGTATTTGTCTTGTCCCTGATTTAAGCCTGAGATAAGTCTGCCAACAGAGAGACTCCTGGTTGAGTATGGATAATAAATCTGCCTGATTCAAATTCATTTATTGCTTGTTTTGATGGAAGAGTGATTGCATCTGCATTTTTTTCTTCCCTTCTATCCTTTGTTTACAAACTATGCCCATCATTGCCCAGCTGGATTTCAGGTGGATGGAATAGTGATTGGTGGGGTAAGTTTCATCAAAATTGGCTTTGAGCTTAAATTTTTGATTGTCTTTTCCAAAGTCTACATGATGATATTCTGCTTTTGATTGTGTCTTGAAGGATAGGTATTGAGATTTTTCCCGAATTTGATGACTCTGTTAATGTTTTCTCATCCCATAGCTGTAATGGGGATGCTTTGCCTTTGTGGTTAGTAATAAGATAGTCAATGAAGTTGTGTAAACCTTGATGAACATTTGCTGGAAACGTGGAGTTTTCCAATGAAGCCTTGCTGATGTTTGATCCTGTTGGGGGAGGAGGATTTGCAAAGGGCATATGGCTGATGATTTGATGATGAAGCAATGAAAAAACTGTGATCATGCAACAATGAGGTGTTCCACAGTGACTGCACAGTTTTAATCAACTGTAGTGGTTCAAAGTAAGAAATGGTCATCCAAATCACATACATTGTACATGAAAGGCTGATTATGTAGGCTACACCTGTTATGTATGGATTAAGCCACCTGGTCCTAGCCCTGACAGCTGAGTGCACCCAATAAGTTTTACCTCAAGGCCAAGATGAGGGCCACACAAGGCCCAGACCAGAAAATTTCAAGTGGAAGAAAGCTTCCTCAGAAAACTAGTGACAATGTACAAGTGGCAACTGCCTGACAACCCATGCAGGATAGTGACTTTCATGAATATGAGAAGCTTTGTTGCATATAATGGGTCAGGTCATAGCCCTAGTTGAGATATCAAAATTCATCAAGGTCATATTCATGTTGATGTCTGCATTCTCTTTTGACCTCTTTTATATATGCCCATGTTGTTCCTAGATACAACTTGTCACAATGGTTTGTTTTGGATGGCTCAGCAACTTTGCCTTTGAGTCTTTTTGAATTTCTATCTTCTACTTCTGAATGTTTTGGAACCTCAATTGTCTGGGATTTCCCAGATACATTGTTCATTCCACCTTCTTTTGTAGGATGAGTGTTCATTAACCTCACGCATTTTAGTCTAATGTGTCAAAAATGTGTTGCAGGTATCAGTTTTGTGGCATTTGGCATGTTTGTGAGGGTAAAACCATCAGCAGATAAAACCAAAAGCTATGACCCCCACTCAGTTGCTGGTCCAGTCAAACATGGATGGTATATGAGTGACTGGCTATTAAGTGATCATATGTGATACTCTGTCAGTCATCAGCCAGTGCTATTCTCCTTGCTTGAGATCAATATAATAATGCTGCAGCAGTTTTGTCAAATGGCACCAGGTGGTACCTTTGTGATGGATTCATCAATCTTGGTCCCAGATTCCAGCGCAAGCTGATTTTTGTGATCGATTGAATTGTAGAGCTAAGAGCAGTGGGCGGCAGCAACAGGGTTTTTGCACGCCAGCCTTCGAAAACAAGTGGAATTGCGACCAGGGCCCATCGAAAATGAACAGGCCCTGATTTCATGGGCAGTGGATGTGGCTTAGCGAGTTGAGTAGGGTCGAAGGGCTGCTCATGTAGTTGTTTGGACAGAGGCCTCCGCTCCTCCGGGGAAACTCAGTCGGCGATGCACATGCACCTGCATTTTTCAATTGTGTCCGTGGAACGGCGAGAAACTTTCAGCGTATCTGACACAAAACACTTTCACGAGTGATCTGAGATGGTGTGATCAAACACATTTACTGTGTACGGAGATGAATGAGATCAGAGCAAGGTGATTCCGGAAAGCCCAAAATTTTGTGACCACAGGCCAGCGCCAAGATACATTTCGAAGGAAGGAAGATAAGAAAGTAAAAAAGGATAAGACATATGACAGGGTGGCTCTAGGGGAAAGCCGACCACCAGATCATAACGCGTGCCTCGACTACATGTCTCAACTGAAAGACAGCGTGAGCTCATCCCCGAGCCAAAAAAGTACACATCAAGTAGAAATCATGAACCCAAGCAAAGAAAGAGTAGAATCAAAGAACCACGGTCTATGTAGGAGAAAAGAAGGATTGGAGGATAATATTGGAATGAGATCATGTCATTGGACCTTGAGCCTCAATCCCTCCAATACGTAATCAGGTTGAAAAGCCGACTGAATCCCGGAAAAGCGGAAAGAGACAATGTTGGTATAAGTGCCGCATCTAGCGGGCACACATGGAGGGTAGTCCCATCACTACTTGTTGGTGTCATATATTCCCCGGGTATGAGTCGCACGCTGAGCAGTGGGATTGGATGATGGTGACATCAGTAAAAGAGTATGCAAAGAGACACTGACAAAAACGTAAGTCGAGCAGCATGGAAAACTTACGTAATGAGCCAGTTCATCCTCGTGCTGTACAGGGCAAAAATATCAAGATCATGAGAATGAATGAAGGTTTTTGATAGAGGATATTGAAAATGTACGAACAACGGCAAATTCCTTCTTGCACACCGGGCAGATGTAGACAACTGCTAAGACTCGGCGGAGAGCTTCAATAGGGCGGCTGTGGACGGGAGGAGTCCAGAGAAGAAACCGACGAGTTTGAGCTCTGAGAGTGGTGAAGCACAGCGTCCAGGGATAGAGGAGAATTGAAGCTGTGACATACATCATGGTGTTTGAACGAAGAAGGAAGGCTGAAGTAAGAGCGGGAGCAAGGAGATTTGATCGGCCAGCGGTTGGTTCAAAAGATAAAGTGAAGGCGTTTAAACTGAGTAGAGCATGAGGTGTAAGCTACGGTATTGTGTTCGAGGTGAACAACAGAGGTTGGCTCACGGATGTCCTAGTATATAGTTGTTCAAGTGTGATATCAAATCGTTTGCTTGGATGTTTAATCGAGGTGCAAATGCAAAAAGGAGTTGGAAAATGATGAAGGAGATGGTAGTTAGTAATTGAGACGGTGGTGGTATAGCTCGGGGCGAACAGCGGACGAATTTATAGAAATTGGAAATATAAACGACAGGACGTATGGACACAGCACGTTCGAGCTTGTATTGCGTCCGGAGCAGACGCAACGAAACAAATTAAGGAGGCAACAAAAATGAAACAGGCTACATACGCAAGAGGGGTGTGACTGACCAGTGAAACAAGTTTATGGGCTATTGGAAGATAGCTAGACGGACGTGAGAGAAGGGGCGAAGGAGAAGAGGAGGGCACGAGAAGAGTTTGATGATCGATAACTCTCGATTAGCTCCTCATCAGAGGGTCACGCCGAGTTACGTCGAGAGACAATTCTGAGCTAAGGGACGCTCTCGACAAGCCGCTGTTCTCGAAAACGTAAGAAAGCACTTCTAAAAAGAGACCAAAGCTTGTAGATACGTAGGTGAGGTGCTTTGAGGTCAAGTGGGACGTACTGTACGAAGCTTGATGAAAGATTCATCGGTCCGTCCCAGTCTTAATGATCTCTCGAGAGTTGATAAGGGGTCGTATTAGACTACGTGCCGGATGGTT